CACCATCTCTACTTTTAAGATTAGGCTTCAAACTTTCCTTTTCGCTAAAGCATATAGTTAGGGCTGGATCAGTTGCTGCAATAGGTGTAGGCTGCTGGAGGTTTCCCATGATGCATTGAGTGTTTCTTCTTCAGCCACCTTTCTCACTCATGTGTTAATAGACCTCTCTGCACTGAATCATACTTGTTATTCATCTCTGGCTGTCTTCCACAGCATGTCTTTATCCTGTCTTCCTTCTCTCTCCCCAACCGGTCGTGGCTGATGGCCGCCCCACCCTGAGTCTGGTTCTGCTGGAGGTTTCGTCCCGTTAAAAGAGTGTTTTTCCTTCCCCCTGTCATCAAAGTGCTTGCTCATAGGGGGGTCTTATGAGTGTTGGGTTTTTCTCACTATGTATTATTGTAGGGTCTACCTTACAATAAAGCACCTTGAGGCGACTGTTGTTGTGATTTGGTGCTGTATAAATAAAATTGAATTGAATCATGGGAAGCCCCCGGAAGATTTGGCCTATTGAAGCATAACTAAGGGAGGATTCAGGCTCACCTGATCCAGCCCTAACTATAAGCTTCATCAAATAGAGATTGATCTTTAAATTTGAAAGGGTGTTTGTCTCCCGAATCCAAACTGGGAGCTGCTTCCACAGAAGAGAGGCCTGAAAGCTGAACATTCTGCCCCTCATTCTACATTTAAATACTCTAGGAACCGTGAGTCTGAGAGCGAAGTGCTCTATTGGGGTGGTACAGTACTATGAGGTGTTTAAGATAAGATGGAGCCTCATTATTCAAAACCTTGTATGTGAGGAGCAGGATATCTGGATTTAACAGGCAGCCAATGAAAAGAAGCCAGTATGGGAGAAATGTGCTCCGTCAGTTATCTTGCTGCAGCATTTCGGCTCAACTGAAGGCTTTTCAGGGAGTTTTGAAAATAATGAATTGCAATATTCCAGTCTAGAAGTAATAACATATGAACTAATTTTTCAGCAAGACTCTGAGACAGCACGTTTCTAATTTTGAGATATTGCACAATTGCAACAATGCTGTCCTAGATATTTGTGTAATATGAACACTGAAAGATCTATCGTGGTCAAAAATGACTCCAAAGTTCCTCTCAGTGTTACTGGAAGCCAAGGTAATGCCATCCAGAGTAAGTATCTGGCTTGACACCACGTTTCTAAGATTTTTATCACTGAGTAGCAGAAGAAGCAGGAAATTACAGCACAAAAATAAAGTTTGATTTGGCAACAAATCAAAATTGAACTATCTTGAGGGGAACAGGAACATCTGCATCAATTTTCACTGCAATTAATACTAAAACATGAGTGTGTCAACCTCAGAAAATTAAGAGGTTAATCAGAGCCATTAAAGACTGTTGCTTTAGGACATTTGTATCTGTGGGAAATGCAATGGAAATCCATCCAGTAGATGTGGAGCTATTTCAGCCTGCCTGACCAACATGACTACAACACAACTTCTGTGAGAATACAAGGTAACCTAGATTCTCAGCCTCTGATTGTACAATTACTACCACCAAACATTTATTTCAGTAATAATTTTTTCCATTTTTACAGGCCAGATACCACACACAGTCTGTGCGATACTGTGAGCAAAGCAGAACATCTGTGGATCAGATCTCACAGTCAGCATCTGTTTTCCAGGAACAGCAGCATATGTCTGTGACAGATGTGTAAACATCTCCATCATCTCATCTGTCATTGGGCCGCTGCTAGTACATTTTTTTTCCATGCCAGCAGTCACATCAAAGACGCAGCCATAGTTTGACATTTTTGGAGACATACTCATTACTCAGATTACAGAACAAACTGAATTTACTCTTGCCAGTTGAATTTGCAGCTAAAACCAATGAACAACGTAAGTTTAATTGGAAATACTTTGTAATCCACAGAAAACATCAGGTATTTCAATCACTAGCTTAAATATTTTGTTAAATAAACTGAGTGAGATTTGCCTTTTCTCCCCCAAAACCAACATTAGAACTTCCATTCAGTCAACATTAAAAGTCTATTTCAGTTTACATTCACAAATGTAATAATTATTTTGAGTAAACACATCGTCTTGTTGTTGACATTTCACCGCAGCTGGCATTCGAATTATAGCTGCGGCAATTTTCTTCCGACTCATTTCCCTCATAACAAAGATAAAAATAATTGTCAAAGCACAACCAGAAGCTGGGGCAATTTCAAACCTTTGCGATATTTAAATTAACTTGAGCCGATAAAGCTAAACATGAACACAAAGTCAAAAGCACAATATGGGTTATGTAAGGTTTAAAAGGTGACCGAGGTCAAAGAAAAGCAAAACTTGTGTTTATCATCCTGTGCTGAAAAGTGAATTTCAGTTCAAATAAAAAGTTTCTTT